GTTGCAGACCAGGCTCAAGTTGCAGACCAGGCTCAATTTGCAGACCAGGCTCAAGCCCAAGCCCAAGCTCAACCTGGCGAGTTTGACATCAATTACGATCCGACCATTTACGTTTTCGAAGATGCGGTTAATGGTGAGTGGGATTTGGATTTGGATCGGGTGTTGGATGCGAATTGGGATTTTGAGATTGAGGGGTAATATGGAGTATAAGAAGAGTTGAGGAAGGGAATGGAGATAGGAGTAAAGATGGATTTGTATACTAGAATAGACAGGTAGACAGACAAATTGCTAGGTAGTTGATTCGGTGGTTAATCGATATTACGAAGCTTCGAAACTTGCTTACTTGCAAACTTACATACTATCGGATGTGATCAGGTGATAGACCTATCACGTGTCAAGACTTCTCCAGATGTATAAGTAGAGGGCTACTCCCCGAGTTCATCAGAGCATAATCAAGAATCATTCTACTCATCTTTGTATGCCCGTGTCACCGTTCAACACATACAAGACAGCCTTAGAAAGTATTTCAAGATGTTACAGCAAAGGCTGCCGTAATATCGGCCTAGCTCGCCCGAGGATGGACGTTTCGCTTAGCGAGACATCCTTCAAGACCCCCAACTTCCTTACAACTGTTGATATGTAGCCATTCAAGAGAATTCCTTCTAACCACACACAAAGAGTCGCTTACTCCTAGCTTCAAGAAGTAGTCAGAAATCAGATAACATCCAAACTCATTGTTTTGCAATTGCAAGTGACCAAGTGCGACGCACGCCGGTGAGAGCGAGAGCGTTCGCTACCGGCGAACCAACATATTCCTCAACTTCCGTTCATTTAGCATCTTACATTTCACTATTATTTTTCATCAGAGCCCAGATCCCAAATCCCTAATCCTAAATCCCAAATCCAAATTTCAAAGTCTAAAATCCAAAATGACTCAGGACAGCAATCCTTCATATTTACTCGTCTTCCCTCCCTCCTTGCCTTCTCCCACTTCTTTCCTCCAAGTCTCTTATACTCATATAAATTTCCTTCGGTTTATACGTCTTCTCCTATCCTACTACTACTATCTGGGCAGCAAACTCCTCCTCCAAATCTCTGGCCTTAGTTCTTTGCTTTCAATTATCATTACCGTCGTCTTGCTTGCTTGATCTAATCGCTATGCCTCATCGCTATGCGTCATAGCAAATAACCAAAATCAAGCCCTCTCTCCCCCGATAGCGACGGATCAGACATTGAGAGCTGCGTTGATACAGAAAATAAGCAAGAAGAGCTTGGTATCGATTCCGAGCTTGCGGACGTAGATACCTATGTCGACGGAGACGATAAGGCAGACTTGCTAGATCTGGAGTGGCTTACTCGTAAGGAGCATTATGCTAGCACCGTGCCGATAGACGTTGATACCCATGTTGGTAGAGATGAAGAGGCAGATGTTGCGTGGATCCTTAGAGAAGAGAACGCCCACCTGCCCGCCAGAGTATCATTTCGATCAAGAGGAAAATTCCGAGGAATCCGAGAATAAAGATAAAGATTATAGCGATAATTGTCTTCGCCTCGTCGAAATGATGGAGAGTTAGTTCCATCAGTGTGTACCGTATTCTCTATTTGCATGCCGTCTTTTGCTATGGAATCGCTCATCTGACTTTTTAAGCATTGCAAATACATACGAAAGAATTTTGCCCGGATGATACAAGTCACCTCTCACCGTGACCTCAAGACCTTTTTTCAGGTAAATGTTGAATTAACGTTAAAATAAAGACAGAAAAAGGCTTGCCGGCATCAAGTCTGCCAGCACGCATAAGACATACTTAAAGGTCTTCCGGCTCGTGTACGAACGAGCGAATAGAAGGAAGATCGACGAGAAGATTAACCGTCAGATGCATTAATTAAGTAGCGTTTCTTATCTGACGGCTCAATCGAGTCTGAATCATCTCTAGGTGAGAGCTTATGAAATTTATATCGCAGGTCCTCAGGAATCTAGCGAAGAAGTCCCGCTCGTATATCGAGGATCTCGCAAGCGTCTTGCAGACCAAGGGGACTACGACGAAGCGAAAGTACACACATGACCGGCAGCGGATCCAAACTAGCCTCTTCTGCTAGCTAGCTGTATTCTCCGCAAACCGTCCTTCATCGCTCTTAAAGCTCCGCTATAATGATGTCGCGGCGAACCTGCTCCGCAAGCGTAGTGGCGGGCCCTAGCGGATCCTGATCAAGTTCACGTGCGAGTTCACCAAGATGTATCTCGACATAAAAGAAGCGTAAGTGTAAACTAGCGCCTTTTCTCGTTCCTTCGATCCCCCTTCCCTTCCCATTCTAGCTGAGACGTCCGGCTCATATAGAAGCCAAGGATACCTTGATACTTCCCGAGATTATCTTTAATCCGTCCCTGACCTTCAGACCGCACGTCGCCCTCTTGAGCCTTATTTTTGCTGATAATGCGTTCTTAGCCCCGGGCCTTATGTCGGCCGAGAGAATCAGGGAGCTGGAAATCCCGCTTGGCTGTGAGCAACTACCCTTGCGTCTAAAGCCGGAGATAGCTAGTATCTCCGTCCTTCATAAGTCTATCGGGACGCCCTATAGCTGCGAGATCTCCCCCGAGCAGCCGCTTCTCTATATTAATCTCTTAAAATGGATAAATTAGCTCGGCCTACTCATAGAGTTCCCGCAGATCACTCGTCCGAACTGCCTCCGATACGGTGCAAGCAACGCTTTTAATCAAGCGATGCGTGACGTGCGGCTCCCTTCGCGCAACCTTATTTTTACTTGCAATGCGATATACTAATTATAAACTAACAAGTGACGTGAGCGAAGTGCTCCAACACATAACAATGCAACACGCTCCTTAAATGCTTTACGCAAATCGTACCGCTGCCCAGCCGATTTCTTTTCTATCTTTTGTTTCCATCTTTTTGGTTTTGTTTTTATGCTATCCATAAAAATTTTCCAATCTTCCAGTACACAGAACCCGCTAATAAACTCTAATCAGAGTCCAAGAAATCAGTAGTTGGACGTCTGCAGCACTTGCCACGGCTGGTTGGATGAGGGACACGCCTGGCCTCGCTTAGCCTCGCTGAAGTTAGCGGGTTGCATGAATGCGTTTTTCCGCACAAGGCCTACTCGGACTCGCACGACGTAAGGAATATCGACCACTATCATGATTGCCCGCGTTGAACCTTTAGAAAGCGCGGTCGACCCTGGATGAACTTTTAAGATCTTTTTTCTTTTTAACGGTATTTATTATTTTGAAAGATGCCGAAAACTCGACGCAAGGGTAGCATAGCTTCGTCTGGCGGGCCCCCACCAAATGATTCTAAGCATATCGCCCGCCGCTAAAACCCGAGAACATTTGCTTTAAGTGTATTCTCGGCTTTTTATATCAGAGACCCAAGGTCCTTCAATCAGGCGTCGGAAGGATGCTTGCCGTAGGAATGAAGAGCTCAAGGACAAGGGGTACAATTACCTTATCGTGGTGTTGAAGATCAAGCAAAAGAAAGGTCTCAAGTGTGCGGAGACTTGGAATTGATTATTGCTATCGTAAATCGGTTGTTAAGTATTTTTTTCCGGCAGTGAAGCAGATGCAAGCAGATGACCTCTTTCAAGAATATGCCGCTCGAGCATTATTCAAAGAGGAAGAAAATCATTCTATATCTTCGATCTAGCATTCTAATTCAAGACCAAAGCAGCAAAGAGATCGAGGAAGCTGGTATCAAGCAATTGGACTTGGAAAAGATAAGGACGATGAATAAGAAGCAATGCCATGTAAAGACGAACCACTTCTAGAAACCGCCCGTCTCGTCATTAAGCCGGTTAATTTCGGACCCCGAGAATGCAAAGCTCATAAGATAAAACCGAATCAAGCAAGCTCCGCCATGCTCATAGACGAGCTGGATCTCTCGCCCGAGTCTTTTGCAATGACAGAGAATCTTTTCGAAACAGCTCTATCGCGACTAGCTGTTCTAGCGGGAAACCCAGTTCCAACTGCACGAGTGCCCATCGTCACCACCACAGGGTGCATTCGTCGTTCCTCATCAAAGGTACCGAGAGCTATCTCGATCCGTTGTTAGGAATTCTTAATGCATGTGTGGCGCCTTCGGCGTCGACGTATGCTGCCGTTGCGATCAATCGCCCATCTGCTTCGAACAATCGCTTACCCGCATTGATGCCTTCGAGGTCGTACTTGGTTGGGAAGGCGAAGGTAATGAGCTTTAAGGACATCGAGGTGGCACGAGCTACGTATGCCGCGAAAGAGTCTACACAAGGCAAAGGAAACCGTGGCCGGAAGAGTAGATGAGCCAAAGGCGGAGCCGGAGACGGAAGCGGAGCCAATTGTGACCATGATACTGTAGATAATAAGAAACGTGCTGCAGCGCAGAAAGTAGTACAGGTGATCAAAGCTTGCAACCATGCCATAGAAAGCACTACCGGTAGTAGCACGGATGCATAGTGGATGGAAAATCGAATTGTTTCGCAGAAAAAAAATTAAAATGCGTTTCTCGAGTAAATTGGAATTCAATACAGCTCTGCTTCTATGGTCTTTTCCAAGCTTGATCCGTACACGTCAATGTTGTATTACCTGTATGCAAGGCATGATTGTATTGGCCTTACAGTACCCGCCGAAAGAACTTCGCAGCATCCTCACTTGTTGCGTAGGGTCCCCAACGCCAGAGTGATGCATTACGGCCTGGTGACACGATGCAGTCCATGTCCTGATGGCGTGAACTTGAGTGTAATAATGCAGCGTTAAGATTTGCCTCTGAATAGGCTCCATCATTTGAAGTGCAAGTGCCGTTGCCTTCTTTGTCTTCTGCGACTCCGTGCTCTTCACAATCCTGCTCTCTATTCCAACATGCAGCAGAGCTCTGCTCTGCTCTACTTCGTTGCGACCTGGCTCTAGGTTCTCTTGTCTTGTCTTTCAATCTGTCCCGGTTCCCTTGCTCAATATCATCTCCTTCTGATGGGCCCAGCTCGGTGCTCCCTTGGCTGCTTGTATCTGAGCCGTCGAGATTCAATTCCTCGCTGTACGCATCTTGTAATTGTCGCAAGGCATTTCGTATTTCCCGAGGAATTCCATGCAGATTGAGTCTCCGCAGCATAACTACAGCACGCTGCAAAGATGCCATCGGCGAGCCCGGCCATGACTTTGTCGCACCATACTCACTGAGACCAGGTTGAAAAGGCGCGCGTCCAGGATATTGAGGGAGGAAGTCATTCATCACGATCCTCGTGTACAGCCCTCCCACCTCGGCACCTTCAATTCCCTGATTTATTTGGTGATCTTGGTATGTTTGGGCGGTAGGACATATCCGCGCTGGAATTGTCCCCGTGCGACGTCCTAGTCTCCGACGACGCTTTCGATCTTGTCGCTCGTAGTTCAAAAAGTACTCCAGATCGGTTGGTAAGAAGAAGAATGAGGGATTGTAGAAATGATCGAAATTCGTATGGCAGGTACCGCAGAGTGCGATCGCGTTCTGTGGGTTTTGTTTCTCGTGGAAGTCGATCAGACCATGTTTGCGAGCCTCATGAAACTGGGATGAAGTTAGATCAGTCCCCGCTGGTCGTATAAGTTACTTACAGTGTTATCTCTGCTGCCGATAACATGGCAGACGTCTGCAGGACTTGCTCCACAGTGCCAGCACTTGTTGTTGTACTGTTCTCTAACCTGCGCCCTCGTGTTGACACTGAAGTCGGATGTGCTCGACACCCGAGTGCGAGGGCGGGCGGGATCACTACCATCTTCTGCCAATGCGCGTCTTCTCTTCGAGCCAGAAGATGAAGTTCCTGAGGAATTTTCTGTATTTGATCTCCGCGGAATAGGCAGGACGGCTTGTGGTGGGGGAGGGTAGATTGGAGGATGTCCCTGACGGGACGACGAGTTAGATGGCGCGGGATATGCTTGACTGGTAGGATCCATTAGCATCAATGATGTTCGATTATATAGTCGATGGTATGACAAGCACTGATGCGCTGCTGTTGCCGACCATCGTGAGAAATTCCTTATCAAAGCTTTGGGTGAGAGTGACGATGCCCTTGGGTAATGAGGAGGCTGGGCATCCTTTGATGACTAATTGATTAAATCACGTGATACATCGCATCAACCAAGCCCATCATCGCCTCTACTCGAAGTACCGATCCGCGCGGCCATCATCCATAAATCTGCAGTCACGGCAGTCCGGTAATCTACGAAAATAGTTGTAATCGAGTTCCGGGTGGAAACGCTTGCAAGAGGTTATATTCATATCAAGCCGGAGATGCAACCGATGCGGAGATGGAGCATAAACTGGAGTTGATCAAGGAGAATCGGAACGAGGAAGACCCGACTGAGATAAGAGGGGTCTGTCTTCTCGATGTTCAAGCTCCGAGGCAGACCACCAACACGCGACCACCAACCCGGGACACTGACGTCAAGACACATATTACACAACAATCATTAATAATTCAGATGATAAAAAAATATCTACATGCTCGGGGAATATCGCTATACAAATATGAATCATCGATATGAAGATGCATCTATCTGGTCTAACTCAAACATTTAAAATCTCATGAAAATATGGCCAAAAACCGTCCCAAACAATGAAATTTTGCTTATCCGCTTCAGATATTCCAACAACCACAACATCGATAAAAAGCAACGTCTTATAGATCGAAATGAAATAATCCAATCTGTCAGATTACTGGAGGAAATAATTATTGAATGGAAGTTGATCGCGATGCATACGTACCTTTGATGGAATTTGCTTGAAGTCCGATCTTCGTGTTCCTCGCTTATTCAGCACAGCAATCCTGATCTACAGTATACCCATAATTGTGAGGCGGCCCGCCATTTTCATCTAGTAAAAGCAGGCGAAAATGGTAGAGTACCTCGCAAGTAGTTAAATAGCACCTTAATTAATGATCATAGTCATCGGTTCCCTCTTCATCGTCTCCGGAGTCGATTTCAATCGCCGTCTGGAGAGCCTTGGCGCTTGGCTTTCCGAGCTCGAGAAGGGCTTTGTTGACTTTCTTCGCTTGTCGGCGCACGGACAAGTACCATGAAAAAGTACCATTTGTACTACTTTAGCACATCACAATAATAGAGTAATAATATGTAATTAAAATTCTGTTAATTCTTCGATGTCAAACTTAATACGGTGCATCTGATCATATAGAAATAATTACGATGTGGTGGATAGTTTATTTGATATCGATTTATAAAAGCAAAAGTTGCTATTCCGGATTGCTGGAGGTCTCGGGTTGCTGGATGTCCCGGGTTGGTAAATGTCCCGAGTTAATAGATATCCCGGGTTACTAGATATCTCGGGTTATTAAATATCTCGAGTTGCTAGACGTCTCGAGTTGCTAGATAATCCGAGTTGCTAGATGCCCCGGGTTGCTGGATGTCTCGAGTTAATAGATATCCTTGGTTGCTGGATATCTTTAGGTGCTAGATGTCCCGGGTTGCTAGAAGTCCTTGGTTGGTAGATGTCTCGGATTACTAGATGTCCTAGGTGCTAGATGTCCCGAGTAAGTAATGCCGTTCTAGCGCAGCTAAGTCGAGAAATTTCATCGCAATTTCAAAGCAACCGACGATTCAAGCATCCACATTTAGCTCAACATTATATTAGAAGACTTATCAGAAGTCTCCTAGCAGAAAGCCCTCGAGCCTTAAAGAACCACAGCTAGCTCCTAAACAGCTAGTATTTTAAGAAACGAAATGCTCGAAAGAAAAACGATCACTATCGTCTCAAATAAGCCAAAGCCAAAGCCAGAATCTGGACCCTCGGCATCTTCGTCAAAATCCAAGCAGCTCGAGACAGCTTTCCCAGCTGCGAAAGTAAAAGCTGTCCAAATGAATAAGCACCGTTTACTTCTCTCTTCTTCCACTCGTGAACTATTATAGCGGTGAATAAACCCTTTAAATCGGACCTTATATATTCGCTATCAAATGCAAAAAAGCTATTATATATTCGGTCTCCAAATGCTCTAGCTATAAAAAATCATCTCACGAAACTCGAAAGCATATCCCAACCTTTAAAATGCGAACTAGCACGATAAGTCTCCTACTTATTTCATATATTATATTAATCAAAAAGTCCGCAATTGCTATAAGACCATCCTATCCTATCCCATCTTCGGCGTGTTGGTGCCCAGCTTACTAGTCCGAGATGAACGCTCAAGATCCTCGGACTCCGGGAATAGGGCTGAAATCCTTGGCCCGAACACTCGCATACCTAGCTATGCATGCCCCTCACCCTTCCAGCTCCCCGCCCTACCAGCTACCACCAGCTACCAGCTACCAGCTACCAACTACCCCGCCACGCCATACATGCAGTCCACACACCCAGCTAAGCAATAACCAACACACGCCGAATAATTCGAAGCTTCGCGTGCATCCTTAAAAGTTGGGCGGCTTACGTAAGACATAATAATGCTGGTCTGGCGCAGGACGGCTTGTTCCACGGCGAGTCCTGCACGAACCCCGTCAGCCCTTAGCAGAAGCAGCCGCACAAAACATATGGGCGCATAAGAAGAAAGCTTTCTCGACACGACCGACACGACCGACACGATCGACACGACACCCCCCGGATATGTGCACGCTTACCAGGTAATACAGAAACCGCCATCTGCTTTCTATTGTCATAATGAGTTTGAGTCTAGGTATGCCATGTTATATTATGGATTCTATATTCTCGCTGGCGTGATGTCTACGAAGTGTAGAGACACCTGCGCGTGAGGCTGAAGCTATGCACTTACTTGTTGCGGACCATTTCGATACGATGTTGGAAGAAATATCTTCGAGGCTACGGCTGGAATCTAGCCCGATGCAATGCAAAGATAAATAGATAGACTTAGCCTTGGCCCGGAGAGAGGAAGATGTGCCGCTGACCTTGTCTTTATAATTGATCGATGCCTTTCGGAGAAGAAGAGGGCTGCACTCGCTCGAATCCATATTCTTTTTAAACTAAGCAATCTTTCTTTATTAGCACCACACGGACAAAACCCACAAGACGATACGCACCATAGCCAGCCCCGTAAACCTGGACTATATCTAAGGAGATATCCTGTAAGTCCCTATATATGCTGTGCTCCGTCTCGCATAAAGCGAGCTGACCCGGTATCGGTAGATCCGGATTCTTAAAGAAAAGAAAAGTCTTCTTTTTCTTCCGCATTATCGAGGCTCGCGTAAACCTTAGGCGCAGTCCAGCTTCCTATTTCCTTTCCTCACTTTAGGTTCTAGGATTAGAAATTATTGATATAAATACGTTTATCACGTTATACGATTAATATTCTAGTTAGTATATATATATATATATTCAACTTGTTCGTTATTTTATAAGCGACGCGGGATCTGATTGTTTCGCGGGACATAATTGTTTCATTTACTTTAAGGAAGGGCCTTAAAAGTTAAGACGTCAAGTCTTATTTATTATGGTCACCGACGATTAAAAGACGAAAAAAAAAAAAAAAAAAAAAAGGAATTAATAGTTCAAACAGATTTCAATTTATTTCTAAAGAACAAATGCCTCCCTCCTATTAAACCGTCCCAATTTCGTTATTCGTTATTCGTCACGAGATTCCGTTTCCAATCTGCCTCGTCTTATCTAATCTTCTCGCCTCTTATCCTACCACATCATCACTCCTGCGCTTTTCCTCCCGATCACAACATCTGATCCACACTCTCGTCGCTGAATCGAGCCTGCGAATCAGATATCATCCGTCAGCGTAGCTCAGCTCAGCTCGACCTCAATGCTCGACGGGAGCGGGGCAAAGAACTGGAAATCGATCTTACCAAAGGCAATCCATCCTTGAACAGCTTCTCCGATAAGAGCTGCACGAGCCCCGATGGCAGAACCCACAACTCGACGGAAAATACCGGTGGGTCGACCGGGCGGCGGATCTGGGAGATGAAGTCGGTGAGGTCGCTGGCGTTAATGAAGGGGGACAGGGTGTGGGTAGGGAAGGCGGTGGCGAGGGCGTTGAGCTGGCTGGTAAGGGGACCCGGGGGGCCGGTGTTGATATCGGTGTTGATGTCAGTGTCGAAGGGGAAACGAGAGGCTGATGGAAGGGGATCTGCTGCTTCAGCTGGGCCATCGGCGGCGGAGTGGAGGCTTCGATAATGTCGGGAGGCTGAGGAATGGTGTTCGGGTGGGATCGGGTATAGAGATGGAGATGGAGAAGGGGATGCAAATGGAGGCGAGGATGGCGATGGCAAGGGGCTGCTCTTGCTGGCAGAGCTCTTATTGGCAGGGTAAGGGAGGGGAGGCAGGACTCCGTACCGGTTGGCGGCGACGGGCTCGAGGCCGGCGGAGGAGCGAGGAGATCGGTGGGCGGAGATGTGGTTGGGGTTGATGCCGGCGGAGGATCGTGAAGATCGGTGAGCAACGGAGCTGCGAGGACGAGAACCTCTTGCTTTGAATTCGTGTTGCATCCCGAAAGATTCAAGCTGACCTTGTCCTTTTCGTTGGGCAGGAATCGATGTATCGCTGTCGCTCTCGCTCTCGCACATAGCCTGGCACCAAACCTTCGCAAATGTCGGGCCAGATGCCGAAGCAGATTTCGCAGCAGATGTGGAAGATTTCGGAGCCGATGTTGAGGCAGATTTGGAAGCGGATTCCGAAGCAGACTCTGAAGCAAATGGATGGGCCTTGGTAATTATCTCCGGCGCATGCTCTTCTATCATGCTGAACAGCCCGGGGTACCGGTGACGAGACAATGAAACGAGGTTGGCCGCAGCTTCAACTTCGGACGCAGTGGGATCGAAATTATCAGCTATCTCTTTCAGCAGCGAATTAAACTCGTCGTAGTCGCAGGCTAATTCGGCTCTAGCAGCAAGCGGATCGAAGGTCTCAGCCATCTTGTCCGTAATCCAAGGAGCAAGGCTAGTAAAGTCGAACAGCTTGAAGTTTGCGGCGGCCTCGGCGTTGGGGGAACCTGAATACGGTCCATCAGTCATATTGTTCGAAGTCGATTCAAGGTCGTTGAAGCTGTTCGCGAAGCTAGCAGCGACAGCGGCTTCGGCGCCGGCTTCGGCTTTATGATCATGTTTTCTTTGTCTTTGACGTCTGCGCTTCGCGCTTCGAGAAAGAGATTGTTCTTGAGAGCGCTTCATGGTTACTACGGCCGGGAGACGCTGTCTGATGTATTGTTAGAGACTCGAAGGGTCGCGGCTGGAATGGGTCTGTTATGGAAGTACCTTATTGGAGCTGGAGTCTGTTGCTGGAGTGTATTGCTAGGGTATGTTGCCGGAGTATATTTGTTGCTGCCGAAGTATCTTCCTGGAGCGTGGAGTCCTCGTCTTATATAGACCGGACGATAGCAACGTCTTTGTGATATTGATTACTTCGGTCGGGTTGGATGATAAGGTTGGAGTGGTCCGTCCGGTCAGTCTAGTTAGTCCAGTCAGTTCAGTCAGTCCAGTCAGTTTAATCAGTCCAGTCAGTCCAGTCAGTCCAGTCAGTCCAGTCAGTCCAGTCAGTCCAGTCAGTCCAGTCAGTCCAGTCAATCGAGTCAGTCCAGTCAGTTCAGTCAGTTCAGTCAGTTCAATCAAATTAATCAAATCAGTGAACTCAGTCAACTCAATGAACTCAGTCAACTCAATCAACTGAATCAACTCAATCAACTCAATCAAATTAATCAAATCAATGAACTCAGTCAACTCAGTCAACGTAATCAATTCATAACACAACCAGATCGGATTATATGGGAATAATGGATTGAGGAACGGGATAGGGCCTTGGCAATCACGTGTAGAAGCCTTGGCACCTACCACGACATGTACCTTGCAGCAAGAACCTCCTCCCTCAGACTTAATAATACAACGAATACAACAACTGATATTCGTACCAAGTCCCTGTGTGCACGCCCTATATGGATTACCAACAGATTATTTGGGCTCGGTGAATTATACGAGCAGTAAGGACATTGTGCGTGGATCTGCAGTGATTCTTTCCATGGCGAGGTTACTCGCTTAATTCTCGAAAGAGCTTCATTCTGTCAATCTTGTAATAGTTATGCCCGCGCGTAAGGATCATACTATGCAAATAAGGTGGGGAATCACCAGAACAAAGGAATGCTCTTCTTCGCGGTTGAGGGAGCGAAATGATATACGCAAACATTCCATTCAATTTAGTTATTAACTTCAGAAGTCCTCCCAGCAAACTGTGTCTCGTCTAGACAAGCAACTTGTACCTCGTCCACATTAAACAAATGCCACACAAAATCACTGCGCCATCATCTGCTGCATCTGGCTCGCGAGCTCATCAATCTCCTTATCAATAGCCTCCTCTTCTTCAGCAAGCTCATCGATCATTCGTTGGAGTCTCTGAGACTCCTTGAACGCCACATGCTTTTCCTCTTGCTTGACCTTGAACTTGCGGGACTTAGGACTTGGGCTGCTGTTCGTCTTGCCTTTTCCACCCATTCCCTTCCATGGGCCTTCGACGCCATCCATCATTTTCAGCGCACCGTCCCATCCATTTGCGACACGATCTTTGATTCCGCTCAAGCCTCCGTCGCTTCTCATGTCTCCCATCTCGCGACGGCCCTCTTCTATCTTCATACGGGTTGGACCTTGATTCTCGCTACGGCCAGGAGTATGATGAGGGCTGCCGGCTTTGATGAAGTGAGCGTTGGCAAGCTGCTGGGCATTGCCATTCTGGTAAGCATTAGTACTCTGATGAGCATTGGTCATCTGATACCCATTATCTTTCGCACCGTAGCCCTTGCTCCCCGGAGCCAAGTACCACGCCGAATTCTCCAACTGGCCCGCCGCAGCAGCAGCCTGAAACTTAATCTTCTCTTCTTCAACGCTCCGCTCACGCTCCCCTTTCTGCTGCCACAAATGCTCGAGCGCATCGCGGATCTGTCCTTCGACGAGTGGCTGGATGCGTTCTCCTTTGAAGTTGGTCGTGCGCTCGTCGAGTTCTTCGAAGCCGAGATGACGCCACAGAGAGAAAGGGATTGCGAGATTCTCGAACGAGAAAGCTTGGCCGCTTGATTGCGCTTTCGAAGTTTGATGACGGATGTACTCGGAAAAGGTAGGATGGCTGAGCTCGAAGTCGATCATGATATCGATTTGGTCTGGAGACCAGGCGAGCTTGTCGGAGGAGGAGAAGACTCCTAGGTGGTGGTTCATGATCATCTGTATTAGGACGGATCAGCAAAGGTTGAATAATAAAAGGGAAGAGTAAGTGATGATTACCGGAGCATTGGGATTAGAGAAATCCATGGTGTTGATCGAAGATCAAAAGCAGTTATCGATAAACTTTTTAAGCTTCCGAAAGCAATTTGATCCGGAAGATCAAAGTATCGAGAAGATGAAAAAGTGGAATTTATAGCTTTTAGCTTACTATAAGTGGTTGAGAGTACTTGGAATGGTGGAAATGATAGAAATAATTGAAATGATTAAAGTGACTGAAATAATTAATATTGGAACCGAGACTTTAATTAAAACCTGGATTAATCAGAAGCTGAAGTTGAACTATCGGTTAGCTTGGTTAACAGCAGTCAACTGAGTCAACTGAATCAACTGAGTTAAACGGGCCAAGTCACGTGGGCTCCCGTCCGTACCTTCCGTTTATATCGGTGGCTATAAGTAGCCACTACCTTACATAGCTAGAGAGGCATGCAAAAACAACTGAATCAACTTGAATAATCGAATACGTATTCGGACCTTGCATTACTTTATGATATTAATACTGTAGTAGAATTGAGGGTCTGTATTGTGACGACCTTAAGCGATTACCTGAAGGAACTCACGGGAGCGCGGGGGTTCATATAGAAGCTCAGGAGAATCTTAAAGTAATGACTTAGAATCAACAACTATCGAGTGTAAAGGTCGAAGGTAGCTGAGGTCTATATACACGAAGGTAGAAGCGCCAAGGACTCGTGAACCATGGTTCATAGGTCAAAAGCGGGGAATAAGAGAATTTGAAGAATACGAGGGAAAAAAGGAAGAAAGTAGCTTGGCGCATATAAAGTGCGTTTAAGAGACTTAGCGTGTCGTTATATATATTTGTTTTGTTTATATATATAATGATGCTATTAAGCACTTTTATTACGTGGATGCATCGTATGCCTTTGCTTTGCTAAGCACGTAGTTAAGTTACGTGCATACTGTGGTGGAGTTGCGGCTCTGTATTTGTTTTGTCCATGTATATAATACTAATGCTAAGCACCTTTATCACGTGGGTACGCTGCATGCTCTGGCCCTGCTAAGCACGTGGTTAAGTCACGTGCAAGCTCTTATATAGACGAATAATTAGTTCCTCCTTGAATTAGCACCACATCAACACACAATACAATACACGTACTCATAGCACATATTCGAGTGTCTTTCGATCGTCCTCCTTTTCTTCTCTTATTCACTTACGATTCTATTATAACTATATTCATATATATCTCTTAATTTAACGTTGAGTATATATCGAAGCTCTTCCTCTTTATATATATTTAATAACTTACGCAAAGAATCGAACTAAAAGTTGGTCTTTATACCTCTTTTAAACTTGCTTTTTTTGCGAAAAGCTATATATTCGAAGTTCACGTCATACGTTAAGCTATTAACTATATGCTTTTGCGGTGCTCTTTCGAAGAGTATTTGACATACGCTAAGCTAACTGTCGGTATCTCCATATCGACCTTAGCTAGCTAGTAGTAGTAGTAGTAGTAGTTAAGGAAGCTCACCCGTGAACCATGGTTCACGGGCCACTTGGCATGCCTCGCTTAGCATGTCAGCAGTCAAAGGACCCTCAACTTGACAAGTAAACCTATTAGCTAGCTAGTGCACGTGATTCCTTCTAATCGTATAAAAGGAATCAGCTCTTTTGAGCCTTGAGGAGCGGATAGAATTCAGATACTTTATCAACCGAGTGTTTTGCAATTGCAAGTACTTTAACGACTTTACGAAGTTACGAATATATTCTTAATCGCTTAAAAGCAATTTAACACTAATCAGTAGTTGATTTACTATTAAGTGATCAATCATAGAGAAGCTAAGACTTTATAGCGAAGATACCTTTCACTACGATACTTTTCTCTTACAACGGAAAAGCGATTCCGTACCAAGTCGCTTCTTATACTACCGATTTTCTTTAGTCTTACGGAAGAGTGATTCCGAACCAAGTCACTTTCAAAACAACAACTTCAACGCTGTAAAAGCCGCGCTTATTATATATAGCACCTTAACCAAATTTAAATCGACTTATATACAAACAAACAACAACTATAGCCGATCGAGCAACTAGACTTTTAAGTAGAGAGTCTAGCCGACAAAGAGCAATAAGATATTATACCCTTCGAGTCTTATCACTACTTACGGAACCCTTAGCTATTCAACCAAAAGGACTACTATACTTAAGACTCTTAAGCCTCTCGGAAGGACTAGACGACGAGATATCGAGCATCTCATTTAACTTAAACGAGCTATCATACGCAAGGCTTAATAGCGAGATTACGGCCCGAGCAATAATAAAAGACTTCTTGAATGCAAAGTGCAGAAAGCTAAAGGACAACGACTTGTAAAGCTTATTCCGACACGCTTTCTTACGCTAAGATTAAACGAGCTTTATAATGACGAAAGATAATACGAGACGAAGCTTTAAGTTTGCTACTTTTATTAGCTTTAAAGAACACTTGCTATTTAAAAGCGTATAATGCCTCTTAAAGCAAAAGGGCTACGCTAATAAAATAATCAAGCTCTTAAACGACGAGCAGCAGCATTAATAGACCTTCGAAGAAATAAAAAAGCAACAAGCAACACCTTTAAGCCTCGATTCAAAGTGGACCGCCGAAAACCTTACGGACGACGACGAAAACGATATTACACTTTAACCACCTCCACCTCCACTCCCGCGCAGTCCAAAAAGAAAGGAAAAGGAGACCTTAAGCAAGAAAGAAGAAAAGGAAGAGATTCGGAAGTTACGCGAAGAGTTTGCGAAAAAGAAGAAAGATATAAAGCAAAATATAAAAGTAATAGCAAAGCAAATAGCGGAATTAC